GACCAGGTCCTCTCTGACCCTGGGCCCGGCTGTGCCTCTCCTGAGTCCGTCCAGGATTCTGGTGGGGGAGACATCCTGGTCCCTGCTCAGAAACATGGAGGCAAAGAATTTGTTAAAGAGGTCAGCTTTATCATCTGGTACATTCACCCGATTGCCAAGTGTGTCCTGCAGGGGCCCCATGTTACCCGGTGCTTTCTTTTTACTCCTATGTATTTAAAAAAGGACTTCTTGTTGTCTTTGATCTGGGTCTCTAGTCCTAGTTCTGTGTCCACCTTAGCCTTCTTAACAGCCCCCCTACAGTCTTGAGCAATGGAGGTATAATCTTCCTTGATAATGGCCCCTACCTTCCATCGGGTGTGTGCCTCCTTTTTAGCTTTCAGACGATCCTGAATCCTTTGGTGGGCCATGAGGGCTTTTGAGCACTCTTGCCCCCTTTGACTCGCATTGGGATTGTTGTCCTTTGGGCTTGGAGGATCATCTCCTTGAGGAATGACAACTTATCTTGGACTCCCAACTCCCCTCCCCTCCAGGACCTCAGTGCCTCCCCGAATAATCTCCTTAATTCATTGAAATCGGCTCTCCTGAAGTCCAGGACTGCTGCCTTGCTGCAGGCCTTTGACACCCTGCACTGGATAGTGAATTCCAGCAGGCGATGATTGCTATCACCCAAGTGGTCAAGAACTCGCGGCCCCCTCACCAGGTTGTTGCCTGTGGCCAGGACCAAGTCCAGCAAGGCATTTCCCCTGGTGGGACTGTGCACCTCCTGGGTTGCGTGGAGGTCCTGTATCTCGGCTAGGAACCTATGTGAGCAGTCAGACCTAACTTACTTCTCCTCCCAGCAGATGAGTAGGTAGTTTAGGTCATTGATGATGACCATGTCATCCCTTGACTTAACTGCCTCTGCGAGCTGACCTGAGAATTCCTGGTCCAGCTCTTCAGCCCTTAATTGGACTGAATCGAATCAGGGACCGAAGCTTCGCGCAGCCCTAGAAACTCTCCCTTCTGAAATCTGCTCTCTGTGCTGTTAGATTCAAATAAACATTGGAACATGATCATTCTTACTGAGACTATTAAGTATAATTCCAAGTTAGATTAGCAGGGCATTGTCTGTATGCTGTGTTTTACTGTATTTCAAGTCCTGTATCCCAGGGCTTTAGATCTCTAGGGTCCGTCTTAAGGACTTTCCATTCCCCGACCCTCCAGAGCTTAGCACTGCTCCCCCGTTCTTCCTGAATGAGCTTGGACAATACACAATGGGATTGAAAGCCAGCCTCCTTGGCTAGATGTGATGGGATGGTCTGCAGCTGACCCTTATTGGCTATAAGAGAATGGAGCCTGGACTGCAGCCCAGATTCCAGAACAAATGTGCTCCTTGGACAGCTCTAGTGCACAAGTCCCTTAGGGGTCGGGGTGGGGGGAAGGGTGGTCCTTGGGGGTGGAGGCGGTGTCTTCTGTAATAAATACACAAGGGAAAAAAAGCCCTTTGAATCAGAAGAAACTGGCTCAGTTCTGCTGCCAGGAATTTTCGAAAGGCAGAGAGGGCATTTAGGACAGAGATCATGTTGTGATGCCCTGATTACTCAAGCATTTTCTCTGGGATAAATCATAAACATTTTTCCCGTATGATCCACAGTGATTGAAAGACAAAGAAGGAAGGTGACAACAGGCAGGGAGAGGTAGTGCCTGGTGTCTGTCTATACATCTCCCCTGCTGTGGCTGAAGATGTCAGTTCAATCTCAGAACTTCTTTCAATATTTTCTATCCCAGTTTTGGGCTCCCAGAGCTGCCATCTTTTTCTATAATCTTTCTTTCCATACAGGACAAATTACTGATTGGCAGTTTTGGGATGTACCTGGCAGTTTAATGTTGTAATACTTGCATGATAAATCACATATTATTTTAATCACCTCTGCTTGCACTAAAAGCAGTAAGAAGGTTTTCTCCCTTGTTGCCCGTAGCAAGAAGCTGTAAATCACCATTGTGTCTGCTTCCAGAAAAAGGTTTCTGGGAGCACAGACCAGAATAGCTCTTGTTTCACCTTTTCAAAGGCTACAATATGCTCTCTTCCCCATACTGGTTGTGGCTAGGAGGTGGTCAAAATTTCTCACCACAGTAATCACTGATTCACTGGTTGCAGCAACTCTGGAAACTATTGTAGACAAGGCTCTGGGAGACTGGTAGTACTTTAACTACACCATCCAGCTGTGCTTGCTCAAACCTGGGGTGTCTAGCACATCACTTAAAGGCTAGGAACAGATATTCAAAAAGCCTGAGCCTGAATTGATTCAATCTTTGCAAGTTAGTTTAACCTGGCTAGGCTAAATCAATTTTGTAACCGGACAAACATCCCAGAAATGCAGACACATGCCTGTAGTGGCTCAGGCTAGAAGCCGGGGGGTGCTACAGCAGCCCTCCCTTCCCTTACACAGGGCTGAGCTGTGGCGAGTGTGAGCAGGCCTGGGCAGGGTGCTCTGATTATTCCATTCCTCCTGAGCAGCCCAGCAGGGAATGTTTATCACCTCTAACTCTAACTCTAACTCAGTGTTTATCAACCCATTAAGAAAACAAAGTCTGTCTCCATTAACTAATGGAGCTCTTCTTAAACAGCTCTCCCAAGGAAGGACATTAAGGTACCTGTTGATTAGCTCCAAAAAGCCTGCCCACCTGTCTTCTCCCACAGCACAAAACATATCCAGCACATGGTCTGCTAGCTAATGCTGAGGTGCCTGAACTGGAAACACAAAGAACTAATTATAATTTGCTTTCTTATATGAACTACAAAGTTTTGAAATGGAAAACTAGTGGCAGAGCTCACCACTGAATCACTGTGTTGCTCTGCACATTTTGGCTTTGATCCTGGCCCCTTTTCCTTGTTAACTGGTCTGCATTAAACAAGCAGTTGGGATCCTACATAAGACAGAGGGGTGGGGAGAATAATCCCTGCGTAGCAGGGAGAAGCCAGGCAGACACTCTGTGCCTGCAAGTCTCTTCCAGAGCTCTGGCCACAGAGCAAAGGGGAGGGGCCAGCTCTGCTGAGGAGCAGAGAGCCACACCCAGCCCAGAGAACATACTGGGATGCTGGAGGTGTCTAGTTTAGCTTAAACCAGCAAGGAGTCTGGGACAGACATTGCATAAACTGGTTTGACCCAAATTAGTTAAGTCTGATACTACATTCAACCAGGTTTATCTCAAACTGGTTTCAACCATTTTCAAACTGGTCTATGCACACTGAATATCTGTTCTGTTACAGGTTTAAAACAGTTTCTGATCATTTAAACTGTTTTATGTGTAATGTCTGTCCCTAGCCAAAATGTTGGTAGTTATCACGGCCACACACTGTTGTTGCCTATTGTTGCTGCCACCAAAGCAGCTGAATCAGCATTAGCAGTAAAACTCTGGAGAAAATGTTAGCTGGGCCCCAAGAAGCACAGGGCCTGTGTTCATGGATAGTTTTATGCATGCATACTAAGCCTGGAAGATGGTCTACCAAAAGATTTGCGGCCACCCTCCTGGGTAGTGTTGTAAAATGAGACAGACGCAAGAACGCTGGGGTTTCTTTACCTGCTTCTGGGAAAATGATACTTGAAGCCAGTCAAGATTTGCGAAGTGAAAGGTTTTTCTTCCTCTGAAAATGACAGTTTTGTCAATAACACAAGGCTGTATGAAAATGATGACCAATTTTGGTTTTCTTTCATGAAGTGTTCAAGGGAATAAGTGTAAAGAAATTAATAAAAGGTTTTGTTTAGATTTTCAGTGACAAAAAGTTGAACGAGAATGGGAATTTGCATTCCATTTTGAAAGGATGATATGAAGCTAAAATCTCTGTGTTCTATTTGGCCAAATGCTTCCAAAACTGAAAATTTCAGAGGAAGAAATTTCAAATGAAGTCCTTTTGCCACAGAAACCTAGGTCAAATAACTCCTTGCATCTTTTCTTTTAGAATCGTTCCAAGTTGTGGTGAGAGGGAATGGATTTCGACATGCCCGTAATGTTGACAGAGTCCTCTGCAGCTTCAAGATCAATGACACAGTTACTTTCAGTAAGTGGTTTTTTTTCCGATAACTCGCTTGCTTTACCAGAGGACACTTGCCTCCAACCCATCTCACTGTTTAGTTCCCCTGATTTCTAAGCTGATTTTTAGAAGGGGAGTTCTGAATGACCCGGTGCAATGTGTAATTGAGGGTTAGTGTCTGTGCTGCAGCCAGGTGAGAGCCCTACTCCTTCTATACACATTTGCAGGGTGCTTACTAATGCTTCGTTAAGTTGCAGTCAAAGGAAAATGGGATGTGATGGAAAGAGCCAAGTGAATGCAGAATGCTGCAAGCCCACATAAAAAGCGGTGGGCTTTTTCCCTGTGACTGTCAGCCTTCCCTGTGCCTAGACAGAAGCAGATTTGACTGTCAGGGGGATTCTCTAGCCAGTACTTAAAAACACTCTAAAAACTAGACCCAGACACATTCACTAATTCAGCACTTCTTATGTATTATATGAGGGGTAAGGGTAAAAAAAAAAGGTTTAGAAATGAATCTGTTAATGCCAGGCTGCAAAAGCCTTTCTGTGTTTCCATCAGAAATCAGAAAATATTCAGTAGAAAACCACAAAAACTTTTCACTTATTGGTTGCCAAGAACTGAAATTTACTCTGATTTGAGGCTGTTGCTTTTTCTTTTCTTTTTTTCGATGAAAACATGAGAGTTTTTAATGAGAAGGGATGTTTCTTTGTAAACATTTCCACCCAGTAAGAGGCATTTTCTCTATTATAAAAGGTTAATGGAAACATTTCAGCCTATTGAATTCTATTTCAGTTCTCTATTCTTGGCCATCCCCAGGCCTAGAAACCCTTTGAGGGAACAAGCCTTCAGTGTCTTTTGACTTCTTGAAGGAGATTGAGCATGTGCATGTGTTCAGCAGGATTTAAATTTGGGGACCACCTAGGGGATGATTCTCAAAGTGCGTGGGAGGGGATTAAAGAAAATATTGGCTTTTAAATTATACCCTAATGTTTGTGGTTCCAGAGTATCGTTTGAAATATGGTTAAACAAGCATGGCAATTTTTCTAACAGTGCAGCTGTTTTATTATAAACCATGTCCCAGGCTATTAGAGTTATGGCTCTGAATTCAAGCGGTGTTTACTGAAATGTCTTGGCTGAGAAACTTGTAGGCACTTGGGGGTCTCAAAATGAAGCCTGATTCCTGCTCTGTCTCCTGGTTACAAGGCTTTCTGGTTGGTGGGTTGGACATTTCTTAAAAGCCACAAAGACAAAGCAGACAACAAACATGAAGTGCAACATTATTTGTACATCTCAAGCCCCAAGGATTCTCAAGTTGACTGTATCTCCATCTGTCCCCAAGTGACTTGCCTCATGTCAGCTAGAGAGTCTGTGGCAAATCTAAGACTACAACTTGGTTATCTGATGTCCAGCTCTGTCTTTAACCTCAAGAGCATCTTTAGAAATATTTCAATGAGCAAGGACTATGGTGAAAGTTCAGCAGCATTTTCTCATTACAGTAAGACAGCACAGCACATCTGTCATGTAAACTAAAATCTTCATACTGAATCTGCTATAAATAAGAGGGATAAAATTAGAGCAGTGACATGAGTTGATTTCTGAGTCATTTTTATGCACTGCATCAGTCAGTCTTTTCTGTAGAGAGCTTTTATCTCATAGATTTTCAAGTTGCTGTCCAATAGACTGACCTGGCACTGCTCCTCTGGCCTATGGGGCAAAGGGTTGGGCACCTCTGCCTTGATCCATTGGTGAGATGCAACCATTTCTGGGGCGGAAGAGTACTTAGCTGTTGGCCAGTCCCCAGCACTGCATGTTAACAAATGAGGAGTGCTTCATCCAAGTGAAACAACAGGGAGAATTTTAGGCTGATTGAATGTAGTTACCCAGCTGGATTCTAGCCAGGCCATTGTGGAAGACAACCTATTCTAGCAAACAAAGCTTTGGGGTCTTTAATCACCAGGAGTGGCCAGACCCTCATGTTGTTATGTACACAGCAGCCACACTCTATAAGTGGGACAGCTCCACAGGAAAAGGATGGTGGGACTGTAGCATATGCTAGTGTGCCTGGGCTCAATAGACTGTGCATTCCCAGGACTTAGCACTCCAGAGTGCAAAGCAGATGCTAAAAACTGCACTGCTGTATTTTCACTGCTATTGTCACCCCTGCTAGCTAGATTAGGTTGGCACAGGTGTGCTATCTTATGCCCCCTTGCTTGTGGACTTTCTGGGCTAAAGTTTCAAACGCAATACAGAGAGGGGAGGGAGGGCAAGGAGTCAAATGGAGATTCAGGGTGACCTTGTCCCTGCAAGATCAACAAAGCTTCTTGCCTTGGATTGGGCTGCCAGCAGGAGTTGAGCATAGGGATTTACAGTAGAGATGGTTGGAGGGTGTGGCCTTGAGGGTTCCAGTTGTAGATGAGGCTGGAAGTGCAGAAGGATTTGAAATATGGGTCTTAAACATCATTTGACTTCTGTAGCTTGGGCTATTTAAAAAGACGGTATAAAAATGTTGATAACACTTAGCCATTCTTGTCCAAAGTTATTACAACACTCCACAGAGCAAGCAGAACTTTGCTGTTCCCATTTTAGAACTAGGAAAACTTAGGTATAGACAAAGGGTGCAGCTTGCCCAAAGTGTGCCGGGCTCAAAACTGTGGGGAAAATCCATGATTTGGTCCTGTCAGACTAGCACCCTACAATGTGCTTTATGCGTCTTCTCTTTGAAGCTGCGTTCAGGTCCATCCTCTTTTTCTGAACCTATGTGCCTATTCCTAGGAGATTTTTACCAGCAGGTGATTCCCCTCACAATACCTTTGTGAAGAAGGGGAGTTTTTTTCCCATTTCACAGTGGGGAAGTGAGGCATAATATGGAGCTAATTGCTCAAAGTCAAGAAGGACTGTGGCAGACCAGTGCCATAAGCACTAGACCATCCTCATTGTCTACCAAGTCTCATTGTTATTTTCTTTACACCCACTTTTTCTCTCCAGTGGAGACTAGAGAATCCTGTTAGCACCAGTCATTACTGACTCCCTCTGCTTTGGTATAAATCAGTGCAACTCCACTGACTTCCACTTGAAGAAGTTGGCACCAAGAGAAAATGTTATCCCCTTACTATTCTGTTTCACTAGAAGTGCTGCAGCTCCAGCCTGCATTCTTGCTGTGTCTTTTTGACATTTGGCTGTAACAAGCTTAGAATCAGAGTTAATTCAATTAGGGCGTAATGGAAACCTTATGGAGACTGGGTAACTCAGCTGTTTTGTTTGCTTCAGACTTCTCAACTTCTGATTGTATCAGGGAGGGGAAGGTATTTGCAAAGACCACATTAAGCCAGCAGTTACTAAAACCTTAGATAAACCCAGATAAGACTCATAACAAGACAGACAGGACTCAATGACGTTTTTAAAGCTACAGAGAATAGATTTTTTTTATTGGGATTTTCGGCAAAAGGAGGGTGACAGGTAAGGGGAGAGAGTCAGCTCATAACAGTTACAGGGTTAAAAAAAGAGAACGAGAGGAGAAATATCTGCTAAGGTCGTTCTGTTTGGAGCTGAATTATGATCAGCTGTATGTTCACCAGCAGGATTTTTCTTTAGCCAGCAAGTCCTGGTTAGAAATGCCTTCAGACTATATGAGGTCAAATAGATTTATCTAGGCAGGTCCTAATTACAGTCCACCTGAATCACTCGCATTGCTAATATAGTTTTCTGTTCCTATTGTTTCAATATTGCCAAGAAACCCCAAGATTAGAGACTTATTTTTGAGCAGTGTACATAGTGGTAGTTCTTGTCCCAAACAATTTACCACCTGAATAGATGGACAAAGGATAGGAGAGGAAAAAGAAGTGAAGCAATCCTGCAGTAGCATAGTGGGTCAGAGGCAGAGCTAGGAAAGCAATCCTGGACTCCTGAGTTTGAATGCTCGACTCAAGCCACTGGCCAGAACCTGATTAAACAACATGAGCTAGCCTGAATTAGCCACCAGAAGCAGGGCTGCAGGAAATATCTAGGGCAGAGGAGTGATACTTTGTTGCCAGAGGTGTACAACTAAGGGAGAAAGAAGGAAAACCAGATCAGAACATGTGTGCATGTACCAGCTGTCAATAGGGAGTGAGGTTTATCGTCCAAACTACACAGCAGCATCTCTGCTAACTCCCCACCCAGTGCCTTCTACAATTCACCTTCCTTCCTTTCTCAGTCCTTTCTCCTTGCCTTCATGCCCTGTTTCCTTTGGCTGCACTGCTCTTAGGTTTTCTCTCTGCCTTTAGTCACTGCTAGCATGGGAGCCTTCTGCTCTTCAGAACCTGTCTTCTAATCTGGGTTTGCTTTGCTGAATCATCCTCTCTCTTCAGGTCTGTCCTGGACCCTTGCCAGTCTTTTCTTGCTTTTATCTCTTATTCCTCTCTGCTGTGGCATTATTAGAACTGTAGCTATGTGTGTGCAAATGGCACAGAGTATTTGGGGATGGAGGAAATGGGGTTGCTGTGCCCAGGGCAGACAGAGCATGGACTAATGCACCCATCAGAACAAGCATTCAGTATTGCCAACCCCACCGTGTCAAAAATCATGGGACAGACTCTTAAAAATCAAGACATTTGGAAAGTAAATCATAAAATGCTATCTTTTGTGTGTGTGGTTCAGGGGGCATTATTTGTGAAGGTGGGGGTGTGGGAGGGGGTTAGAGCCCAAGGAAGGGGGGTCGCCACGTACTCTGGCAGGATGTGGGGTATTCTGGGTCAGGAGTGAGGGTAGAAGCAGGGCTGTGGCTTGGGAGTGAGGGGCGGACACGCACACGCATGCACACAGACAGCCAGTCACCCATGGCTCTGTTACATGACTCACCTCAGGTCCAGGGTCCCATTCACCCCAGTCCCTGCCCCACTTCCTCCCTCACGGGGGGGCGGGGGGTGCAGATCAAGGCCCCAGCTCCCCCATCAGAGTTGATTTGGCTTGGAAATCAGGAGTCTCATGATTTTTTCATGGGAGTTGGCATTACTGAGCATTGGGAAGGCAGTATGTTTTGGTTGAGAGGC